GAGAGAGAGAGAGAGAGAGAGAGAGAGAGAGAGAGAGAGAGAGAGAGAGAGAGAGAGAGAGAGAGAGAGAGAGAGAGATTCTGAGAGTCATGTCCAGTGCCGCGACATAGCTGAGCCAGGTGACCTCCGGATTCACTGTGCTATACGTTTTGGAAAAGAAAACAACAACACCCAGAATAAAGCCTATCCCAGGCAAGAGTATCTGGCAGATAAAACGGCCCAGGCACATGTCGAGGTTCATCATTGGAGGCTAATGCGGTTAGGTGCATCTTGCCCAGGTCAGAAAATCGACCATATACATCTGGGAAAGTGCTCATGTGAGTATACCCTGACTATTGGAGCGAGGCCCAGCGCTGCTATGTAGTCGTTTTTTCTTCTTTTTTTTTTCGGACATAGCCGCCTCAAAAGTGTGGCACGTGCTATCCCACGACAAAACGGGCAAAAGCCACTCCAGTTACTGCCGCCCTGTGGATGTGTCCAACGTTTTGAATGAATCGGGGCCAACTTTGGCTACAGATGCGTCTAGAAGATACTGTGCGGCTGAGTATGTTTCAAGCTTTTGGAACGAATCAGGACAAATCTCTAGGATATTGCGGGCTGTGGATACTTCCAGCATTTGGGCGTTCACCTGCGTTGGAACATGGATAGGTGCACGAGCTTGGAAAAACTCGAAAAAACTTGAAAAAAGACAAAAAAAAAAAAACGAATCTACTGAATACGAACTAGCAAATCTGCTGAAAAACGAAAGACCAACAAATGTGCACCTCCCTCTGCTGTGCCAGCCCCTGAACTCATGCACGCGCGCAAAAAAACAAAAACAAAAAAAAAACAAGGTGCCCCGTCACCCCCACACGCCTCCACTGCAGCACATCATTTGGGATATTGGACGCTTTGACGCATCGTCCATCTTTTGTTTACCATACTGAAAAAGGACGAACAGAACACGATCGATCTGTCGATTGACTCGATTGCAAGAGAACCACAAACCGATAAGTTGCCAACAACACCACCCACAGTGGGCCACACATCAATTGGGACTTCGATCAGCTCTGCTTGCAACTACCTTCTCCTGGACTGATGCATATGAGAATGCTCGCAAAAGGTAGCAGCAAGCCGAGCTAATCGGTTAGGTGCATCAATTGGGACTTCGATTAGCTCTGCTTGCAGCTACTTTCAGAAGTCAAAACTTGTGTTGTCGACTACTCAAACCTCTCTTGCACGTTGGTGATGATCCAGCTTTGCAGTCGGTTTGGACTCTGGAGAGACCACCACTGCTACGCCAAGACGCCAATATAGGATTCGTGCAATGCCGCAACAAAATGATGGGATGGGTTGCCTCTGCCACTGTCTGGTTGAATCCACGAGTCAATGCATGCCCTCCGAGAAGCTCGCTACTTCTACATAGGAGCGCAAACTGCGTGCCCTTCGGGAAGACTTGCTTTATTGCAAGCATGTCCATCTCCGTCACCACTTCAACGTGCATGCCCTCCGATCAGCTCGCTACTTCTACGTATGAGCGCGAACTGTGTTCCCTTCGGGAAGTCGTGCTTTATCGCAA